CCATTAACTATTTGAAATCAGAGCTGTGTAATAACCCACTTTAGATGTCACATAAATAAATATAAGCTTCACTGATGTAAAAATACCTAGATATATAACTTATGAAACTACGTAATTGGTTTCAAAAAATAGATTATACCTTATTACAAACTTGCAAATATTGTTACCAAACGTAAACTCCAACAATTATTTAAAAACAAACTAAAAAATGACTAAAAGATTTTAAAATTTTTTTATTACATTGCAACTCATTTACAGTTGATGAAAACACATTTAATATACCTAATATTTCCCTTCGAATGTGGGGTAGGTTATCGAGCTACTACCATATCTTAGACAGAGATCTTTTCTGCATAAAGAAATAAACCGTACTGCCCGACCGTATAAAATGACTCAAAACTTGATAGATGATCGAAGGAGTATTCGATCGCTCTTTTAAGAGATAAAAATTCTTTGTTAAAAAATGTTGATCAAAAAGCACGGCTTTCGAGGAAGGAAGTTTTCAATATTGCCAATGGAAACTCGCCCAGCAGAATGCTTGAGACAGCAATATGTTCGAAAACTAGTCAAAACCAACGCCCTCATCTGTAAAGTGAGGACTATGTTATAAAAGAGAACCTTTTGACCTAAAAAAGCCATTGTAATGAAGTAGGCGTATCTCATGGTGCTGTTAACAAGATAATAAAAGAGGATTTGAAGTTGCTGAAGCCTCAAAAGCTTCCAACTATACCTGAGAGAAAATCGATGACTGTTCTCAGGAAAAAAGATGGGCTGATGAAATTGAAATCATATTGATCTCATTACACTACATAGTAGTAGTCTCTTGATGCAGTTTTAATGTATTCTTAAGTACATAACTGGAAGTCCTAAACCTAAGACATCAGCCAGTGCCAGGAACTATGAACAAGAGGAGAAGGAAAACATTATATGGCTGTTCTCCAAAGAAGCCTGGTCTTATGGAAATATCTCTGCAGAACCATTGTTGAGAAGTAAAGGATGCAGTCATAGTATGATCTCTAGAGAAAGTAAAGCCTTTAGTACTAATATGTCTATCTTTATAAGTTTCCAAAAAAATGTGAATGACCTTTCATGTCAAAGGTTTCGAAAATTTTGAATTATTTTTGCAATATTCGAAACCTTAAAATTCTCATAGCCGTCACAGCACAATTACAGCAAATAAAATAATTACTTTAAAAAAGTTAACAAAAAATTACTCGCAGGCAGAAAGAAAACCAGTGCATGTGGATATTACACATAATATTATACTTCTCTCATGCTCGTGTCAGCTATCTTTAGACAAGGTGTTGTTGAAAGCTTTGTCTTAGTGGAAAATTTAATATGATATCAGTTCTTTAATACGCAAATATTTACTTGAACTGTCCTACCAATTATTTTAGCAAACTCAGTGACAAAACTTTAGCTAATTTAAATTACTATCATCGAGCATGAAAATTCACGAAAAGAGCAGTTTGCATAGTGGATTTATGTTAGATATCTTATAAGTAAGTGTCTTTAAAAAAGGTTATTGTACAAGATTCCTGAAACCGCATTAAATAAGAGTGAGGGAATCGAACCGTTTCTGCTCTAAGAGGGAAAGACAAGAGCAAGAAGTTCCTCCTTGTAAATATATTAGATTGGCCGTCATGAGTCTAATCCAAAGTTCAGATTGGGCTAGAGTAATGAAAGAACCAGTTACTATATGAATCCTACTCTAGATAACACAATTAGTTATAGAAAACCCGATACTGTTAGTCTATAAACAAAGCACAAAATCACTACAGAGTAATCGTAATTTGTAATATTACGACTCTAAAAAGACAAAAACTACCGGTATAAAATATTGCACCCCCCTCCCAGTTCAACTAAAATTCAATCTGAAACGTAAATGGTTTACCGTTCAACCTACACTATACATATCTAGTGGTCTCACACAACCTCGTCTCATTCGTCACTTTAAAGTGGATCGAGGAGTTAAAAGTGTTCCAACTTGTTGATGAACCATGGCTAGATCTCACAGAAGACGACTCACTCATGTGTAGAACCATCGGACAAATGGAAACTGGCCAATGGTGGAAGCAGACTATTGTGAAGTGTCACCAGGTATCTCAAAGTGTCATTGGCAGAATCTAGAACCACTTTTAAACTAATTTTACAGCTGCTCGGATGTATGGCCAGGGCAGATGATCATCCACAACACAAACATGTTACTGCCACTTGTTGATTCTGCCATAATCATAAGGTGCATGCTCTGACACTAGATCAGATGTTCACAACAGCAGCTAAATCAATTTTACAGACGATCACAAATAAACTTCACAAGACAAGTATACATGTGAAACGCCAGTGAGATGTATTTCACTCCCAGCAAGGCACAAAACAACTCGTTATACGATGATGCCAAGAATATGACTAGTGGAGCAGTTTCTTTTTTTTTTTACAAGAATCTCATTTATCTATGCAGTAAGTTAAAAAGCATGGGTTCGTTTGGAGAAGACTTAGAACCAGTTCCAACTCCATTTCTTATACAAGAACATGTTGCCCATGACAGTTTGAAAGTATGATGTGGGCAGGAATAGGAGTTTGTGGATACAACGACTTCCACATCCTGTAAAAGATTACTACTAATGCTATATATTATAGGGACCGTATATTACAGGCATTTGTGCTACCATATGCTGGAGTAATTCCCCTTGACTTCAGGCTAATATATGGTAATACCCATTCCAACCACGTTAAACTGATTAGACACATTTCCTTAAAGAACGGAGACTGAATGAATGGAGAAGCATGTTCAGGTCACATGACTGATCATCAAATGCTTGATTTGCATAACAATAAGCAGAGAATAATGTTTGATAATAATTTTGCCTTATCATAACTAAGAAATTAGAAATTCAAATCGTTCGTCAATTATTTTGATGAAGTGATTTCTATTATTAATTGTCCTTCTCTACATCGTTTCAAGTAAAATGCATACCAAAGAAGCAACGTATAAGATGCATTTATAATCATGATAATAATGCTCAAATGACATTCCGTTGAGTCTCCTGTGTGGGGATGTTTAGGTTAATGAAAATGTTAGAAAATTCCCCACCATCTTCAGCAAAATTATAATGCATATATATGTATAACAACTTAATGAAATACAGCGTGATTACAAAGAATACATACATTTAAAACGATTACAATTTAAAAACTATACTTGTCACAGGGAACAAAACTTTAGCAAATACATACACTGTATTGAGAACGATAAGTTTTATTCTGGAGAGTCTGGAGATGGTAACTGGTCTTACAAAACCCTACTATATTGTATAACTAAATTGTCTTTCTAGCATACCAACGTTACTTTTATTTTCTTCTCCCTTGCTCTTTGAATAATACAAGATTTGTGATTTGAATAAAATCAGTTTATCGCGGGATTTAACGAACAGATGACACTTTTAGTAGCTTCATTTACAGATAGGCTTGATAGGCTGAGTAATAATGAGGGAAGACACAATGAGCACATTCTGTGAAAATTTCTTTTACAGACTTTGTACTCTGTCCAGACTTCTCGAATAAAACTTTAGATTTTCAGTTAGCCTCTGGAGAATCTGTGTTCCCATTTCATGATTACATTTATATAGAAAGCTTTAATGTTCTACTGTAACCTGACTCCTTAGAATTTGAATCTCCTATAGTTGGAAGGTATTTGTATACTTAGAAATATTTTACTACTGTTAATTAAGCCGTTTATTATACTTCTTTGATGAACTTAATGAGATCGTCAGTTTAAAATAAAACATCACTTCAGTTTTCAACATCACACATTCAACGAGACTTCTGCTGTCGCAGTTGAAAAAACTGTCAATTACACCCTTCCAGAATATATACTTATTTAGCTATATTCAGATTGTTTTTGTTGCTAAATTATCGTGCACGTTTTCTGCATGTAGTTATGACACACTTGTTAACCGGATGTTCAAAAATCTTAAACTTGCACTAATCCAAGCTCCGTAAGCTTTTGCTTGCTTGTTCCTGTGTCATCACTTCTTGCAGTGGGATCATACTCATAACCAGGTGAAGTACAGAGGTATAAGTTTGGAGTTGATCTCTCTTTAATACGTATATTTGGAACGATCGTTGACTTAAGCAATCTATAGGTTGTGGGATACCGCACTAGGACGCTGGTTTGATTTTAATGTTTTATACTGTATTATTCTTTTTTTTTTCTGTTCCTATCCTACACGGACGTGCACAATTTTAATTACTGTCTTTGTCCTGTTCAAATGTGTTTTGGCAATTTCCTTCATCCCAGCAGGTAGTTAGAGTCTTGCTTTGAATAGAACCAAGCCAGTTAATAAGTTACACCCAAACAACTTACTCACTGTATGAATAAAGTGTGCTTTTGTTATTTGTTCTCCCAGGTGTTTGTATTTCTTTGCTGTTCACGTTCTCTGCATAACATTTCTGAAACCTGCGTTTTGCAAATACTTGATATGTTTCTGTTGAATATCTGTGTAACTCATTACCAAATGGCTTATGATCGGTTGTAAAGACTTGTTTCCCATAATAGATACGTTTCAGGTTTAGTTAAATATATAATGTTTTCCCTATTCAGTATCAGGAAAACAATACCCATTTACCCACTATATCCAGAACAGACTAGATACAACGAAAGTGAAATTATTATACATTTGACACACAAGTAAGCCTAACGAGTGTATGTATCTTCTATCGGGATGTCCAAAGTTGTCCTTCAGACAGAGTGCCTAAGTAATATACAAAAATACTTATATTACGCGAAAGGTTCTGATATTTTTCGTAGCAATTCTACTAGACTGGTTGTTTTGCAAGAAATGTTTTAAAAATTAAATTGAAGAAAAAAAAACACTCAATCGACTTTTTCAATCATAGTGTATACATGTAAAATTGAAATCTGATTTTACATATAACTTTCAAACTTTAACAAGATAACCTCAATGAATAAAGATGGCTAGGAATGGCACTGATTTCAATAAATTTGGTCATGACTTTATTTATAATGCTACTGTAATTTGAATGAAATCAGCACTTTTAATTCATACGAGGCAACGTTTGCTTTAAACCTTAATTTGAATTCTTCAAAAAAAAACTGATTTAAACTAATTTAGATCTATCGAACACAATGATTGTTAGAATTTAAAAAAAGCTACGGAGATATATTTTGAGATTATGTAGGCGCTTGTGAGGAGACAAACATATCCAGAATTCTTGACCATACATTAGAGGAGTCAAACATTTCTAAAATTCATGACCATATATTTCATCACGTTTGTAGCTCTTCTAGAATTGTTTGCTACACAATGGGTTTTGTTATGCTCACCAGGGTATCGAAATCCGGTTTCTAGCGTTATAAGTCCGAAGACTTGCTGCGGTGCCACTGGTGGGGGGCGTTAAGCTAGAAAAATGGAAGTGTGGATCGTTTGAATTATGCTTACGTTAGTTTTATTAAAAAAAAACATTTTCGCAAACTTAAATTCAAATCAACACAATTTGATTACATTTCACAAGAAACAGATTAGTATCCTGGTTAAGCAAGAGGAAATCACAGTTTTCTGGTTTTAAATTAAATCCTGAAACAATTCATTTATAAATTTCTAATATAACTTCAAGCTGTAGTGTAGTGTAATAATATTTTTCTTTGTGAATTTAAAATTAGGTATGCCAACTTTCTGACAGCTGTATGAATCCCTGTACCATGTTCTTCTAGCCAATAAATCTTCAGCTCTAAGGTAGGTATGGTGGTTTACTAAAGTGCCATCTAGTACTGGAAACGTACAACATAAGTTCTAATGTACATTTATGCCGCATATTTCAAATATAATAAAAACCCTTTTATAATAACCCGAATTACCTATAACTTCTTTTACTTTTCAGTTCAGTTAATTATTATAAACATAGTTCGTAATAAAAAAATATCTGTTTAACTTTTTTAATGATATTTTCTGGGTGATTGTTAACATTTGGATCTGAAACATAATTAATATTCTTCTCAAGTTAATTACATTTTTAATATAATTCTCATGGCTAATTTTCAGTCAGTTTCGTTTGAAATCAGATTGTAATTAAAGAAAAAGAAAGTAAAAGTTCAAGATCTGTTTAATTGAGTAACACGACTTAGAAATGTACATGCTTACTTTGCGAATTGGTGACAATAACAAAATCGTTAAAACGTAAGTTTTCACCTCAGCTGTTCTTAGACCGTGTAATAAGTTCTGACAATAAATAAATTATAATGCTATAAAAATCTTACTTTGACAAAACAAAACGAATGACAAAGGCACAATAGTCTGGTGACACACTGTCCGATAGTTAACCAAGAAGTAGATTCGAATCACACAACTGCCTCATTAACATCTAAGAATAAACTATTTTGAAATTTTCTAAACAAAAAATTTCCTTTCTGAAAGTAATTCTTTACCCTTGATACAGTAATTGACAATTCTTCACATAACCATAACATTCAAATATTGTTTAAAACGATCTCCAATTTGATTGCGATTGGAGACTTTAAATACCCAAAACCTTTATGAGCCATGCTTTATGAATACACATGCTTTTTTCACAATAACTGTGTAATGCCCAAATCCTAGATGAATATTAAAAGGCAGATAAAGCTGTGATATAATCAAAGAGGTAAATACGAATATTTACTTTAATATATAAAAGTGGCGAAAAAAAAGGAGAGAAGAACAATGTTTTCATTAGATTTCATTAATTTTACTTGAATAATGGTGTTGGTAGCTGAACACAATTCTCTGTACCAGGATAAGATGGAAGATTTAACTCAAACTTTGCCAACAAGCTAGCTGGTACAAACCTACCACCTAACCAGTGGTATTTTCCCTTGAAGAGTTTGGCACACTTCTTGGGAGCAGTCAAAGAGATCAAAAACTCTGGTTGTAAACCCTCGGGATCTCCATTTTCGATGTCCCAACCTGACGAAAGAGCAAAGAAATACGTAAACATTTTATGAACCTATTATAAATTAGAAGTGGAAGGAGAACTTCAGTCATTATCATTATTATTTGTGTGTGTGGGGGGGGGGGCTAAGAAAGTATGGTATTAGTACGTGTACTGATAACCTTAGCGTTAACAATAGTGTTGCAGTAGACTAGGAAACGTCAGGAAATATATCGCGGAGTTAAACTGAGTTATCTGGTTCTGATGGCGTTTGAAGAAAGAGACCAGATACAAAGTAAAAAATAAATGAAATGTAATTTTTATTAACAACTATCATAAAATACCTGTACACGGGATTCAAAGACCCCTCATGAATCACAGAGGCCCAAATACACAGATCAAGCTCCTCCATTATCCACAATTACTTTTATAGCTACTATAAGAGGGGGAGGGTCCGTACTCCAAAACATACTTCGTTGTGACATCCGTCTATGGTACCTGAACGAATGTTTCACGTTTGTTCTTGGCAAATTCAGGCTCCAGATCAAGTCCAGGAACATAACACTCCTACGTCAGCGACCATAAAACCCTACTCCTTGTCCTTCATCCGGCCTGAGTGACCTTCTGAGCACATTTCAGCTTCCCCCGTACCCATTTGTAGGAGCTACACCATATAGATAAAGACACCCCAGGGTAACCTTGAGTCCTTTTACCAAGTTTTGTTTTGCTAGTTCCAAAACTGTGAAAGGAGTCTGTGGTCAAGTAAATTCACAAACACAACGTGAAGTCGTAAAGGATAAACACAATTAAACTGACAAGAGCACTGGACAATAGACTGCGCTTATAGTAGCTCTAGACCTGAACCAAATTTAATCAATTTCTAAAATAACCTCTCACAGACAGAGAGAGCATAGCATTATATATATATAGGATTCTATAGCTCCATCCTCTCTGTGTGCATGCACTACCATGTCATTCCAACAGAGAAAGAGGGACGATATATCCTCAAACGTTGTTTCTATTTGTTTGTTGTTAAATGCAACACTACACAATGAACTATCTATCTCTGCCCATCACGAATGTCAAAACCTGATTGTTAGCGTTGTAATATCCTTAAGGTATCACTTGAGCTCGCCAGTGGAAAATATCGCTACCCTCCTTTACATGATGTTTTATTCTATATAGAAATCTTTCTCACGAGAAAGCGCATATGACATAATAAGGGAAACACCTAGAATAATATTTAGCTAAAGCGAAACTAGTTTAGTCACATTTTATGACTAATATTTTCTTGTTGAAAACACACACAGCTCGAAACGCTTGAAAAGTTTGAATATTCAAGATGAACGTGAAACGCTCACCTTACTAAACTAAATGAACGCGAAGCACTAAATATGTTTTACTTAATACCAAAGCATTTTTAGGTTGTTGGAAATACGTAAAAAGCAAACTTTCAAATTATATGAATATACACACAAATACGTAATATAAATATATTTTTATATTTAAGGACTTTTGGAAAAAATACTACTTAATTTTAAAAAAATATTCAATCTAATTTCAAGAGATAAGATTAACGTTTTTGTTATTAGAAGACAAATCACAAACCTGATGGGACGTCAACGCTACACAGAGGCACATGAATTTTCTTTAATTTTTCAAGTACTTCAACAAATTCAGGCCGCACAGGGGGTTTGAAATTGAAGCCGAACAATGCATCCACGACAAGATTGTATGAATCTGTTATGAGCTGAGCATCAGGGAGGAATGATAGAAAGGGGATTTCCATTTCTTGACACTGTTTAGTCAAGCTCTTAAACAGAGGTTTATTAGATTGTTTAGGATAGAATACGGACGGTTCATATCCCTAAAAGAAGAAACAAATATAAAATACGGTGACGAGGAACCCACTTTGAGACTAATAATGGCTGGAGACGGCT